AATGTAACTCACCCAAAATCACATAATTTAACTTTTCCTCCAGGAAAGATTAATATATTTTGTGGTTTCATATCTATTTAATAAAAATTTAATTTTCATTATAAAAGATAATAAACAAACAGAAAAAGAAACCTCGATGAAGAACACGATGAGAATGTAAATAATAAAGAGCTGATACTAATTGACACGCAATTTTTTGTACCTTAGAAAGAAAAAAAAAATACGATACTATTTAAGAAAAAAAAAAAAAAAGAAATAGAATCATTTTTTATACCGTATCTTCTGGTAAATTGACATCATCTTCTAATAATTGATAAAGATCAGCTAGACCACGTTCTGTAACAACAACAATCTCAACAAAGAAAAAAAAAACTCATAACTAAATATTTAATAAACATTTCGAATTACTTCATTATTTGTTTCAAAACTATTGATCATATCAACAATATTTTCATGTTTCATTTTTCGAAGTATATCTATTTCACGTCGTAAAAAATATAAATCTTTTTCTGTTTTACCTAATTTTGAAATAAATTTTAATGCAACATCCTAAAAAAAACGAATGAATTTTTTTTTCTTTTGTTTTAATAAATTAATGAAATAAAATAATTGAAAATACAAACTCGTCCAGTATATTTTTCTCGACCACGATAAACTTTTGCAAAAGAACCTTCGCCAATTGGCGATATAATCATATATTTTTCCATTGTATATAATATGTCAATCGATTTCTTTTCACTTTACAAAATGTTAAACGATGAACTTATCAGCCATGAGCGTTGCTGATAGAGATTGTTGCTTAGTATATAATATCAATATAAAAAAAAATTTATTAAGTTTTTTAAATAAAATAATATAAAAATTGATTTAATGAAAATTTTTATTATTTTTCTTTTAAAAAAATAAAATTAGAAACGCCATCTGTCTCTTTATATTGATTGCTTAGTTCTCTTATTTTTCTTGAATAATAGCTTCGTCAAGAGTCTCGATAAATATCGCTCGTTCTATATTCCGTTTTCTCTTTAATGTCAATAAATACGATTTTGTTTTTTCAATTTAAATGTGAAGGTCATTCTCATATGAATGTATAAAGTAATTGGAGTAAGAAAAGAATCTTTCTATTGATAAAAGTGTCTCTTGCGTTCGCATACAACAATAAATAAAAGTAAACCATCGCAAAGGTGGGTCAGATAATTACATATGTAGCACATTTGACGTAACCTAAAAGATTGATAAGAACACCTTTTGCTTTTACTTTTTGTCTGTATATGAATGACGTACGCATCTAGCCCCCGATACAGATATATATATGCATTAAGAATACCTATTGCGATGAATTTTTTTCTTCTGTATTCGTATATAATACTTTTCTTTTCTTTGTTTTAGAGCCATCACAATTACTCAAAATGTCGTTGTCGATTAAACAGCGACAAGCGACAAATATCCGGCCAGTGTAATATTGTACATATATAGCGAATTATTTATTATTTTTACTCTGTGTTAAATTAATTAATTATATATTGATATTCTTATATTATTTTTTATTAATCGGTTTTTTTTCTTTGAAAAAATAATTCAATAAATGCCGTCCATTTTATATTCAACAACATGTTATATTAGTAATGATTTTTATCGTTTACGTATATATGTTGATGATGGAAATAATTATTCGGATTTAGTTTCACCTAAAAATATTAAATTAGCAACAGATTCTTTAGACTTTACAGCTACTAGCATTCCAATCGATCATATAAAACCTTCATTTACACGATTAAATTTTGAATTATTAAATGAAAAAAAACCAAATAATAATATTCCAACAACAATTCCTCTTAAATATTTACTTAATGTTCAACAAACAACATCATTACCGAAAAACTCTTATAGAAATTTCAGTACTAGTCTTCCTACACCATCATTAGAAACATCAAGTAGAATGATTAGTCTTACAAGTAGTCCAATACTTGAACAATCTGAAGAAAGGAGTCGTATTATGTTAACTCCAAATAGTTCACAAGCTATGTTTAAACGTCGACAATTTAGTTTTCGAAGATTTCTTTCTTCATTTTCAAATACGGATAGTGATGTTGTTTTATTATATAAAACATTAATTAAAATCAAATATATTGATGTTTCAAATTCATTTCAATGGAATATAAAAAGTTTAGAACTTGAAATGGATTCGGAAGATATAGCTAATGAATTATATATAAATCTTAATTCATGTTTATCAACATTAGAACAAAGACCACATCGTCTATTAGCTTTTGTTAATCCATTATCAGGCAAAGGTAATAAAGATACTTGAAAGTTAATGGAACTTTTTTTTTCTTCTGTATACAAAAAATGTAAAATTGCATTCGAATTGATGACTAAATAATGTCTCACCTACACACCTGAGATTGCTAGATTACATATACGTTACATTAAGCACGATTGTCATGAAACCAATCAACATTGCCCGAATAGAGGTTGTACGAAAAATACGTTGTTTTTTCTCTGCTATTTGTCTTCAGTTTAATGCAACATCACTCAAAATTTTATATTATTATTACAAACACATATCGAGTAGACTAAGAACAAAAAAAAATAACTTTAAAAAGTATATGTTGTTTAGAATTCTTCTATAATTAATTTTAGGTTAATAATTTTCTTCTTTTTCTAATACAGAGATCAAGATGATTTCTTTGAAACATAAATGATTTGTTTAACATTAAAGTCATTTTATATTTAATGTTGACTTGTCAGGTCATATTATATTCATCTGTTATTTTCAATTAATAAACTAGAACAAATATTAAGATTCGAGAGAAAACTTAATTACAGAAAAATCATCGAATCTTTTTTCTCGAATACATTCTAGAATATTTATTATTTACATGTTCTTACAAAAATGTCACCATATCAAGAACATTCATTGATGTTATCAGTATATCTAACCAAACATCTTTCTAAGATAATATCTTGTCTTTATGATACCTTAGGAATTTGACATGTATAGATAAGTAATCAACAGTCACATGTCCTTGATTTATTATCTATTAATAAACAATTTGCAATAATTTAATATAAATTTAAGGTCGTGCACGATATGTTTATGATAAAAAAGTATTACCTGTATTTCAAGAAGCAAATATATTTGTTGATACAATATATACAGAACGTGCTAATCATGCACAAGAATATATTGTGAATGAAATGCTTGATGATTATGATGGTCTTATATGTGTTGGTGGTGATGGTATGTTTGCTGAATTATGTCATGGTCTGTTATTACGAACAGCTCGTGATGAACAAATAAATATTGATGATCCTCATGTGAATATAATTCGTCCTAATTTAAGAATTGGTATTATACCGGCTGGTTCAACTGATGCTGTTGTTTTTGGTACAACAGGTTTAAATGATCCAATAACAAGTGCATTACAAATTATTGTTGGTGAATCACTTTTAATTGATATAACAACGGTAAAGAGAAGAAAAAAAAACCCAAGATTTTCTTTTTGATTTATTTGATTTTTGTCTTTGTCTTTGTTTTTTTTTTTGCAAAAGGTTCATAATGAGAATGGTTTCGTACGTTTTATGGCAACAATGCTTGCATATGGATTTTTTGGTGATATTATTCATCAATCAGATAATTGGCGTTGTTTAGGTCCATTAAGATATGATTTAGCTGGATTTTGTCAATTTCTACGTCATACATCATATCATACTGAATTAACAATAACATTATCATCACATGATTCAGTAGAAATTTGTCATCCACAAACAATAACATCAATAAATAATGGTAGTAAAACATCAATTGTTTCATCTGATTGTCAAAAATTAATAAATAGTAGCAATTCAACATTAACTGAAATGAATTCAATGAATAAATCATTTGATACAATTGGTAAATTACCAACATCAAATTTAGGATTTTGTCGTCAAAATTGTGAAACATGTGCTGAAGAAAAACAGACCAATCGTAATAAGGATCAGTTACCATCACAAATAAAACGTGAAGGAAGATATACAACTATAAATTGTCTTAATATGCCTTGTCGTTGTGCAAAAAGTAAATATGGAATGTCACCATTTGTTCATCTCGGTAAGATCAATATCATAAAAATAATGAATCTTATTCATAATTCACTTGTTGGTCAAGAGCATAAAAACTGACCACATACTAGCTCATGTGTTGCTACAGGCGGTCTCTTTTCTTTTATCTATCTATCTTTTCTTTTTCAATCATATTGCTGTCATATATTAGCATAGCAATTGCAAAAAAAGACCACCCTTAGCAAGACATGAACTAGTATGTAAACACTTTTTATGTATATTCGTGGCCAACAAGCAAATTGTGAATAAGTTTTATTTTCATAAATAATTAATTGATTTTTTGTTTTGTTTTGTTAGGTGATGGAACATTTGATTTAATCCTTGTTAAACGTTCTTGGCGTACTAGTTTTCTTCGTTTTTTATGGCAAGTTGCTAATGATAGTCGATCGATTGAAGATTTACCTAATGTTGAACGATATCGTGTTCGAGAAGTTCTTATACGTCCTATAAATAAAGGTCAAAGAAAAAAAGCAGGTAATTGGGCTTGTGATGGTGAATTAATAAGTGGAAATGAAATTCAAATACGTGTTCATCGTCAAGCACTTAATCTTTTTGCTTCGGGTATTAAATTAAAAGAAAAACAACAACATATTGATAGTAAATCGGAAACTACAAATTGGTTTCCTTGTTTGCGAAATACAAAAAAAAAAATTTCTCAAGAATCAAATTCTTAAAATTATAATGCGATATTTCAATAAAGAAAAAAAAATTTGAATGTATATGCATTCCTTTCTTTTTCTTGTTGTCATGTTATTAGACATACATACATACATATACATATACATATATATTTTTTCTTTTTTTTAATCTTCTTCTTCTTCTCTTTTCATTGAATTATAATAAAAAATAAAAAAAAGAAAGAAAAATTTTTCTTTTAACAATATTATTAATTAGAATTAAACAAGTTTAGAAAATAATTCAATTAAATTTTCATGATTTAATTCATTGGAAAGTTGTAAACATGTTTTTGTTTTTATTGTTAATTTTGTATTAGCACCTAGTTGAATAAGAAAACGAATTATTTCAAGATTATTATAAATTATAGCAAGATGAAGTGGTGTTGCATCTTGTTTATTACGTTGATTTAAATTTATATTTGGATAATATTTTATTAATAATTCTATAAGATCAATACGTTCAAGGCTAATACATAAATGAAGAAGACTATTTCCAGATAGAGCAATGGAATTTATATCAAAATTGGATAAATTCTACAAATAAATCATCAATATTATATAATAATAAATGAATAAAATTACTCAACTGATTTTAATAGATGTTCAATCATAGAAGTATTTCCCATAGGTAATGCATGAAAGAGAATATTTCGATTTTGTTCATCAATATAATCACCAGTTAATTGATTAGTTTTAATAAAATATTCAATAACATCAATATAATCTTTTCTAAATAGAAGAAAAAAAAAACATTCAATAAAAAGTTTCAATATGATTAAATTAAACCGTAATGCAGTTAAAATTCGATTTTTAAATTGATCCGATGGATTATTGAATAAAGATTGATCATCAGTTTGAGATGAATAAAATTCACCTAACAATATATAATATTCAATGTTAAAAATTTTTATAAGAATAAGTGGGAATAGAGTCTTCGACGGATTAAATTTTTCGAACTCGCACCTTATCTGACGTCCTCTAACAGAGTCGGAGTTGACATAAATTATAGAATCTTCGAAAACTCTATGTCATTCTTCTATTATTTAGCATTTCTTTTTGACAGTTGTAATGTCCAGTAAATGAAAACTGTCACTTGTGTAAGAAAAGATTAGTATCATTCAGTGTCTCCATTTTTTTTATTAGATGTATTTTTATTATCTTCATGCGACCTTGAATTACATGATGTTGCAGGACACGTAATTGATTCGTCTCGAAAAATATCAATTGTTTATTTAGACGAAATTAACTATTTAGGAGAAGTTAGAAATTTTTATACAACAGACATCAAGAGATTTTATTAAATCTAAAACGGTCTCAAAACTTGTTGTCTTTGTATATAACACAAGGTGGGCCATAAATAGGTTTACAGTAAAAAATTTGAATATCTCCATTGTGTTCCACTCTATGAGACTAGGTTTTCTTTTTCGTGATGGAGGAGACGTCAGAATTCCTTTTTTGAGAATGGTCTCAACAGATTCATGCGAGGATATATTCGATCGTGTTGTTTTTCATTCTGCGATGCGTGGTTATTTTTTCTCTCCTGCTGCCGATGTACACGGTTGGAAATAATATTATTCCAAGGGGAGAGGGGTATCGCTATGATTTCAAATAGAAGACATAATGAATTTTATATCGAATGAAAGCTCGTCAAAATGGGGTTTATTGATACTAAATAGTCAGGGTTATAAAAACTTTTTAATATCGAACTTAAGAAACTTTCAGAAATTTTATACTTTTTTTTGGGATGGAAAAGTAAGATGTCGATAATTCAAAAACGAAGTTAAATGTTTTTCTTGAATATTTTTGCATGATTTAATAGAGCTCGTCGAGTTCTACAAAACTGTATATATTTAAAAAAATGTAAATGGGGTTGTTGAGTTACAATTCACTGAAAATTGTCTAAAGAATATACTAAAAACACCCGTATTTTTTACACTTTTTATATGGAAAAAAAAAGTGGCCTTTCTTACACTAAATTCAGCTGTTTTCCATTAGTATCGTTATGTAAGATGTTCGAAAATATACTCATTCGAATCGATTTTTCATGCTGCATCGAATGAGTATAACTCGAAACGCCTGAGAGAGTAAAATTAATCAAAAAAAGCTAATTTTATGGAAACATCGAGTATTTTTCTTTCATATCAAAAACATGAGTTTTTTAACATTTTCCCAATACTTTTTAAAAATTTTTTAATATATACAGTTTTGTAGAACTCGACGAGCTCTATCAAATCATGTAAAAATATTCAATAAAAACATTTAACTTCATTTTTGAATTATCGACATCTTACTTATCCACCCCAAAGAAAAGTATAAAATTTCTGAAAGTTTCGTAAGTTCGATATTAAAAAGTTTTCATAACCCTGACTATTTAGTATCAATAAACCCCATTTTTGACGAGCTTTCATTCGATATAAAATTCATTATGTCTTCTATTTGAAATCATAGCAATACCCCTCTCCCCCTGGAATAATATTATTTCCAACCGTGTAAATATCTATCTTTTCTTAAGTACAATGAAGTGACAGCAAGAGTTACTTTGACTATTCTTGCTGGTGTTCGTTGTCTTTTTTATAGAGGTTTCGAAAAACTATACTTCAAAATTTTAGATTCACGTTATGACCTGTAACGTCATACAGTTCTTATGGAAAAAACTCTGAAGTGACAGACGGGAGATATGCACATTTTTTTCGCAAAGCTACTAACCGACCACTCTGTATGAGAAAATCTTTTGAAAATTAAGCAGATTGTTATATCAACATAATACTCTATACAATTGTAAAACTTCAGATGTTATGATAAAACTATTGCGCTCTTTTGTAAATGTCTCTAAAAATAGTAACGACTGACGTACGATTTGAAAGCAATGACATAATTGTTGTTGACCTTTTGCCTCTTATTAATAGAAATATTCTGATATGAAATACAGAATAAGACAATTGTTAACGTCAATCGTTTTTTTAACAGATACGTGCTGGAATGAAATATCACTGACGTATCTTTAATAGCTATGATTATGTAAAAACCAAAGTCAACATTAATTGTGCATGTACAGCAATTGAAGGTTCTTCAATAAAAATCTACAAAATATATCAATTCGTACAGACTCATTAATATTGACTTTGGTAGAAGTTAATTAATAGTGATATGTAGAAACTTTTTAGATTTTTGTTAAACTAAATACTATTTTTTTATCAATAGAACACAATTGACTTAAGATGAAATACGAGAAAAATTTTGTGCAAGTTTCAAATATCGATCATTTTATGCAGAAACTTTTTTCAATTTCTAATTTATTTATTATGTCATATTTATACCTGTTGTTCTATTCTGTTCAAGTGTCATTTGAATCTTTTGAAAAAATTCTACAGCTACTGTACATATAGCTAGAAGTCCAAATGCACGAATAGCTAACATCCATTGTAAATGTAAACGATTATTTGTATTTATTATTAATTGATTTGGTAAATCAGCTAATAATGTTCGATATTGATTATCACGTTTATAACGACTAAGTATATCAATATGATGAATAAAATCATAATCATTTTCAATTGAATATATTCCTATTTGTTTATCAATGTCATGGAGAATTTGTCGAGCAAATTGATTTATTTGTAATGAATCAATATCATTTGGTGTGAATGCAAGAAGTAAATGTTCAATAAATAATTCAAATTCCATTTGAAATAAGGATTGTTTATGTTCATAATCGAATTGTTTTAACCAAAAATAAATAAAATTAATAAATGTATTTGTTGTTAATGAACGTAATTTTTCTAAACGAGATGATGTTATTTGAAGCCAATTATTAAGTATTGAAGGATCAAAATAAAAAAGTATTGTATCATTTGTTTGGCTGTTTTCATTATTATTATTATTATTGTCTAAATCATTTTCATCAGAACGAAAACCAAACCGAGATAAACACACTAATTCACGAAGATCACGAACACTGCGAGACATTAGAAGAGTGTGGTTTTGTTGTTGTTGTTGTTGTTGTTGTTATTTTTTAATTGATATCGATATCAACACGAATTTGTAAACCAGCAGCAAGTGTACCAAATGAAAATAAATATGGAAAACTAAAAAAAAAAAAATAAATATTCATTTTGAAAAGAATTAATATAGTTTACTTACATAATAGCAGCGTTCCAAGCCAAAGAAAAAAGAAGACGAAAACAACGTGACATTATTGGTTGAACATGATTATAACTTTGAAAATAGGATGAAATCAATGAAACAGTTTTTAAAGAAAACATCATTACATTGATCTAAATATATACAAGGAAAACATAGTCATTTATATGACTCATTGGCCAATCAAGAAATTCTCATGTAGCTGATGACGTTATCTACTTCCGGTACTTCTCTCGCTCTCTGCCGTCAACAATATTTCTTCTTCTTATGATGATGTGGAAGAAAAAAAAACAAAGAATAGTATATATGAGGAAAATATTTTAGTCATTCCTGAAGCATATATCGGTCATATCTTTACATCGATACACTGAAGAAAGAATGGGAAATCTTCAACCTGGTCGTAATGAACGTCCAGAATTAAGTGAACGTGAATTATCCTATATAACTCTTCATACAAATTTTACGCGAAAACAGATCGATGATTTTCATGTTCGTTTTTTAACATATTATCCACGTGGTTATATTAATTTTGATCAATTTTGTGATTTATATTCTAATGAATTAAAACATTTACAAAGTTCACGACCATTACTTGAACGTTTATTTCATCATATTGATACAGATAAAGATGGACGATTAAATTTTAAAGAAATACTTTTCTTTAAAGCAATTAGTTTACCAGAAACAGATAATAATGAAAAACTTCGATGGATTTTTGTTCTTTATGATACTAATCAAGATCGAAAAATAGATCAACGTGAATTTTTAGATTTATGCTATTTAGTTTATCATATTCATGGACATTTACTAACAAAAAATCGTTTAGATGAATTAAAACGCTTATTTGCCAAATTTGATATCAATGGTGATGGCCAATTAAATTGTTATGAATTTCTTCAATTATGTAAACAATGTACAGATTTACTTGAATTTCTGGCTCCAATGTTTAACAATACAACATGGAATATTAAAGTTAGTTTAATTTTTTTTTTTAAATAATTTAATATTAAAATTTTTTTTCGCATGTTTCTTTAGAAAGATGATCTTTCAACATTTACAAAAACAAATGAACTTACATCGAATAAAATTGAATATTTAATTAAACGAACAAAATTTTCTCGTGAACAAGTTTCACATTATCATGAAATATTTCGAACTCGTTGTCATTCTGGTCGTTTAACAAAAAATGAATTCGTTAATTTTTATCAACAATTACTTCCATCAACATCATCAGGAATTTATTCTGAATTTATATTTCGAGCTTTTGATAATTTATCAAAAGATGGTTTTATACAATTTGATGAATTTCTTATTGCTATTTATATTCATAGTAACGCAAGTACACCACGTGAAAAACTTGAATGGCTTTATAATGCTTATGATCGTGATGGTGATGGAATAATTGATTATAATGAATTAAATCAAATAATTCATGCACTTTTTGTTTTACATGGCATTGATAAAGAAAAACATAGTGTTGCTTATGTGACATACGAAATAATGACTATTTTAGATTTAAATAATGATGATAAAATATCAAAACAAGAATTTTTGAATATGTTAAAAGACAAAGAACTTACGAATTTTTTGGCACCATCATTTGTTAAACAAAACTGAAAATTAACTTAGTTTCAAGTTTTTTAATTTATTTGTCAAGTCAAATAACAAATCAAATTCATCTAAAAAGATGACGCTAGTGATGATATATTGATACATGACACTGCCTCTTCTTTATGTCAATTATTATTTTCAATATTTTTTTTTCTGTTCTAATTGTTTATTTGAATAAACTTGTGTTCTAGAATATCATACTTTTGTTGTAGAGAAAAAAATTACTCTCTAGCCAAAGCTTGATAAGATAAAAGATTGACGACGAAAAAAAAAAAAGAATTGAGAAAGGAATAGATAAAAAGAATAAAAATCGACAGACGAGGGTACAGCACTCAATGTGTTGTCCTCCATTTCTCTTTTTTTGCTCGTGATCGTGTTGTCTACTTGAGACACTACTAAAATAAAATAAATGCCGTTTATTTTATTGTGCAATTAGAATTTCCATTTATTCCCATAGGATTATATTTAGATATGAAAGCATCACGACTTCTTCATCTTCGTTGTTTGCTTCAAACTCGTTCACAATGTCGAGGTTTGCTAATTATTAAAATATATAATAATAAAAGAAAAAGACAAAACATCGATTGAATTTAGGCAACAGCATTCTCGCGCAAGAACCATCTGGTCCAAAAATGAAAACAGAAATTCCTGTATGATAGAAATTTTTGCTTCAGTGAAATTAATTTTATTCTTTAACTTTTTTTAGGGTCCAAAATCACAACAGTTTATGAAAGAATTAGAAAAAACTCAAGTAAATAACTGATTTCAATTTATTTGCTAATGACTTTATATAAATTTAGAATCCATTGAGTACAATATTTGTTCTTGATGTTGATAAATCTATTGGAAACTATGCTGTTGATACTGATGGAAATATTATGTTGGATGTTTATGAGCAAATTGCTTCTCTTCCTTTAGGTGTTACATTGATATGCTCTAAGAGAAGAAAAAAAAACAATTTGTTTTAAAATATTCTTCTAGGTTACAATCATCCAGCTATTCAAAAAGTTTTTCAAGATTCAAATAATCTAGTTTGTTTTAATAAATTACAACAAAAAAAAAAGATCAAATAATTTATTTCATCTTAGAGTCAACTTGTCAATCGACCAGCACTTGGAGTTCATCCAACACCTCAATTTATAAAACAAATTGATCAAACACTTCTTCCAGTAATCTTAATATCTATTCTTTTTTTTGTTTTTAATTTTAAATATAAATCTTTTTCTACATAGATTGCACCTAAAGGTCTTGAATGTGTTCAACCAATGATGTGTGGTTCATGTTCAAATGAAAATGCATTCAAAGCAATTTGTATTTGGTATGCAAATAAGAATCGTAGTGGAAAATCATTCAATGAAGAAGAATTAACATCATCAATGTATAATAAAGCACCAGGATGTCCAACGGTCTCGTTAATGTCATTCGAAGGAGGTTTTCATGGTCGAACATTTGGTAATCAATGACATCAAAAAAGGGAAAAAAAAATTAAAAATTTTTAAAAATTTCTTTAGGTGCATTGGCATGTACACATTCCAAACCTATTCATAAACTTGATATTCCAAGTTTTGATTGGCCAATTGCACCTTTTCCAAGATATAAATATCCATTAGAAGAAAATCAACGAGAAAATCAAAAAGATGATGAAAGATGTTTAGCTCGTGTAAGCATTTTTTTTTTTGTCATTTGAAATAACATCGAGATGATGAAAAGACTCATTTGAGAGTAGACGAGTATAGTCAAAGAGTTCGATCGTACTACACCTATATTTTATATTTTGCCAAATATGATTATTAAAGTAAACATTGAGAATGGTAAATACATTCCATAGATCATTACAGACATCTCAGGTGGAGACGGTTGGTGCATAAGTACGAATGATTCCAAACAGAGATGGAACCAATTTGCATTTTTGACGACCTGTACTGGTGCCGATCTGAGTAGGTCAGAGCGGCTGGTAACAGGTACCGGTTTCATCTCTTATTCCAATTATCGTAGGGAACTTAACAAAAATTTGATACTGAATGAAGGCTTAACAGTACATTGAACAAATAAAAAAAAATACATGAAAATAGAGTTTTTTTTTGTTTGGATTGATGCGTCCCCGAAAGGTCACAACTACTCGCTTCACAGATCATTTTATGACAATTAAATGAACCTTATCAACTAATTTTTAATGCCTATCCATTAACGATGCGTTTCATCTCTACAAGCATCAATTACTTTTTTCCTTTTATCATATTACATAAAAACGGTGGTGTTTCATTATATATATATATAAATGTCGCAGTGATTCTCCTAAAAGCTTTTTTATTTATTCTTTCATATAGATCGAGGAATTATTTCATGAATATAAAAAAAAATCAAATCCCGTAGTTGGTGTTGTAGTTGAACCAATTCAAAGTGAAGGTGGTGATTTTCATGGAAGTCCTACATTTTTTCAACGTCTTCAAAAACTAACTAAACAAGTACGAATACATGAAAAAATAAAAGATTTGTTTATATATATATAGATAATTTAATAGAACAATGCAGCATTACTTATTGATGAAGTACAAACAGGTCTTGGTGCAACAGGAAAATTCTGGGCACATGAACATTTTAATTTACCTGAATCACCTGATGTAGTTACATTTTCAAAAAAATTTCAAACAGGTGGTTATTTTGCTAAATCTGAATATCAACCAAAACAGGTTACATTTTTTTTATATGATTTTGAATGTTAAATAAATAATTATTTTATTTTTCTATAGCCTTATCGTATATTTAATACTTGGATGGGTGAACCAGCTAAATTATTAGTACTTGATGCTATATTAAAAACTGTTAAACAAGAAAATTTAATTGAAAATACAAGAAAAACTGGTGATGTTCTATTGAATGGTTTAAAAGATTTAAATAAAAAATATTCACAATTAATTCTTAATCCACGTGGTCGTGGAACATTTTGTGCATTTGATATGCCAAATGCATCAGTTCGTGATAAATTTCTTGTTCATATGAGAAATGCTGGTATGTCAATAAAAACAAATAAATAAAATGAAAATAAAATATTTCGTTGAATTATTGTTTTTTTTCTTATTCATAGGTATTCAAATGGGATCATGTGGTGATGTTGCTATACGTTTTCGTCCAGCATTAATTTTTACTGAAAAACATGCTAATATTGTTCTTGATAAAATGACTGAAGTAGCAAAGAAATTTTAAAATCATCTGCTAATAAAATAAATTAAAATAGACTTCAAAAATAATGAAGTCTTTTAAATTGATTATTTATCTTTGATTTCAATTGTATATCAATTCATTAATTAGAAAAGAGATTTTTTTTGTTTTGTTTCTATTTATGTTATTATAATGTAGACGTTTGACGAGAGCCAACAATAAATGTTTGTTGTGTTGTATGAATATTTTCTATTTGTGGATAATCTTTAGGTATATTTGTTGTTGTTGATGATGATGATGTCATTTTAATATGTGATGAATTTTCATTAATATGTTTTGTACAACTAGCAAATGGACCCGTTGAAGTAATAAAACCATGAATAAGAAAAAATAATAAAGTACCAAAGAAGATAAAACACATTACAGCTAATATAATTGACCACTAGAAACAAACAAAATCTTATTAATTTATTAAAATTAATGTTGAATACTAATTATTACTGTTCGCCACATTTTTTGATCATTTATCCAATTTTTCATATATGCTTCAGGTATGTCAATATATCTAGAAGCATTTTTATCGATATATAGAACAAATTTCGATGTATCTAAAGATTCTCCACCAATAGCACGATTATGTTCGAAAAAATAATGTTCATTAACATTTCTAATTGAACATAATGATACTTGGAATATTATGATAATAAAGATTAGTATTAAATTAATCGTTCTTTGATGATAATCAAACATAGTAAAAGTTCTGTATTTTAAGTTAAAATGAACGATAAACAGAATAGAATTTTATTTGATGAATAAGATAGTAAAAAGCGGGCAAATCATATATGATATTTCTTTTATTCAAATTATTTACATTTTTCTTATCGAAAATTAATATTACCATTAATAACATTATTTTTAAGAGTAAATCTTTGAGAAACTCAGATATCGACGATGGAGTAATATCTCAGAATTTAATGATTTTTTTTTATATGTTGTAAATGGTGATGAGTTTAGTAATCTTTGAAATTTTTACTTCGATATAATCACTTTTTCAAGGTCATTATTCAAAATAGTGATGAAATTCTTAACCATCTTACTTTTTAATCGTTTTTTTATGAATTTTCTTCGAAAAAATTAATTTTTATATTTTGAAATAAGGGAATTTTAAGTTTATACTTTTTTGAACAAAAGTATTAGTGGTTTTTTAGATAAATATAAAATATATTGATAGGCCAAATAAAAATCCTATTTTTACTTTTGTTGACATATTCTTATCAAATGTCACTCGAGTGCATTTTATTGCGATAACATCAAAATGCCTTGATATTTCGTACCAGTAATAAACCTTAAAAAGTTGTATCGTTTGATATATTTCGCATTTGCGTACAATACAAAAAATGAATTAATTTTTGGAAAAACTCGTCTTTTTTTTTGTTGTGAATAGTATGATAATGTAAAACTACTAAACCAGACCTTTGACATTTTTAGTGTTAACAAAAAAGATGATACGTTAAGAATTCGTAATCAGCGTGCAAAACTAAACGAGAAAACATATTTTTCATCGTAGAATATTTTCGATCAAAATTTTTCTTGTAGGAGAGCACAGAATTAAGTTTTTGTGATAAACGATTGAGTAGAAGTATAATGAAAATTTCAAAATAAAAGAAAATGTGCTTTAGTTTAGTTTTGCATGCTGATTTCGAATATTAGATTCATTTTTCATCAAATTCAACTTTCCACAATCATAAAGCGGAAATACGCTTCTTTTTATGCTATTTTTTCTAGAAACATTACATTCTGAGATATTATTCCATCGTCAATGTCTGAGTCTCTCAGATACTACTCACTCATAAAAGAGTTCTATTATTCTAAGGAAGGAATTTTATAGATATTTTCGTGTGTTAAATATTTGTATAATGTTTTTCTGGTTCTTATCTAAAGAATAAAATTGTACAATTAGGAATGCTAAATGATCGAATTTTGAACGTGAAAATTTATTCGAAATGTATAGGATTTTCAATGAACGATATCTATCAAATATGGTGTTCAATTCTTTAATATTTGTAAAACAAAGATGATTTTATATTGCGAATAACGAACTGTTCATAATGACATACAGCTCTATTTAAATATACGATTGAATTTGTGAGTAATGGTTTTACGTACAAGAAGAAAGAATACAATAAATGATAAGATTATTATTACAATGAATTGCGAGAAAATATGAACGCAGATCTTACAGTGCATAACAAAACGGTGAATAAATGGCAACATATATGAATTGTTTGAACAAATTGTTTCTCGATAAAATTAATTTGTTAATTTTCTAGCAAAATGTGAGAGTACATCATAATATAGCTTTGCTTAACTAATCATCGAACATGCCCACATGCCCATGGCATTTCGATATTGTTTCTTGTATTTAAACTTTACTGTTTTCATAGTGGCATAATCAGATGGGGACTAGGCGAGCTCAACCATCTCCAGTGTACAAACAGTTGAGTTTTACTTAAAAAAGAGGCTTTAGTCTCTTCTCCAAGCATTATTAAATAATTTCTATTCCCCCTTTAGACATAATCAAGATGGATAAACTATCCACTACAACCCTTTTCTGATTACGCGGTACTTTTTCACTAAATTAATATTTAATCTGTAATAGATTGATAAAATCCTTGTCAAATTTTTCTTGAAATGATTTATGAATACCAGCGACATCTATTAGAAATATTTTGTAATTAAAAAAATTCTAAAACTTGATGATCATTTTTATTACTAATTATCTTAAAATCAAATTTAAAAATTTTATAAAAATTCAAATAAAAAAATTTCATTGCGCATGGACTTAAAAAGATATTTAACGGATAGTTTAATTGTTGCATTTCGCAAATAGATCAAAAACAAGTCATAGTTGTTTCCATGATATAAGAGAGAAACAAAGATGACAGAAACAACGAAATCGGTCTGGATTGAAAAATTAAAATCAGCTAAAAAAGCTGGTCTTCTTCAAAATGGTATTATTCATTTTTATTTCTTTTTTTTTTATTAAATTTTTTATAAAATATTTCAAGATCGAAAAAAAATTCATTATACATTCGATGATCAAACAGAAATGGTTGAAGAATATGATGCAAAAACTAATTTACTTTTAAGTATGATAAACAAGCTTATATATATATAAATAAAATTTTCCTTCGAAAAAAAAAATAGTTCGAAAATGGCGTCAAAAACCAAGTAGTGGTTTAAAAACTGCAGCTACGTCAGATTCATGGACATTTGAAATTGGTCAAAATTACGAAACACGACCAATAGCAGATAATACACTTGGTATGATAGAAAGCACAACAACAGTATGTATTGATTTTGCTATTAAATAAAATATTTAAAAAAAAAATTTTTTTTCTCGATTAGCCAATATTTTCACGTAATGATAAAAATGATTGTTTTGAAATTCGTATACGAAATTTACCATATTCAATTGATACATATCAATTAACAATTGATAAAGATAAACGAGAATTTGTTTTACGAACAACAAATAAAAAGTAAACAAAATTGTTTAAGCATTGAAAATCGAATTTTATTTTTTCTTAAAGATATTTTAAACGTTTTTCAATTGTTGATCTCGATCGATTAAATCTTCCATTAGAAGAAAATAATTTATCATATTCTTATGCAAATAATACATTAATTATAACTGTAAGAATTAAATTCTTTCATTTATTGTGTTTTTTTTTTGTCTAATTCAATAATGTTTTTTTAGTATAAAAAACCAAAAGCTATTCTTGACTTAGAAAAACAAGTACATGATGAATTAAAAAATTTAAATATGAAAAAAGAGGGTGATAGTGATTGTGCCGTCAATTAATAAATGATCTTTTTAATGTGATGATATTTAGAATGCATTTTTGCTTTGCTTGTTTTGTTTTTTATTAGTTTTATATTTTAGATGTAATTTATAGATAAAAAAGAATATGTTATTTCAACGAATTCTTTTAACTAAATATAATCCTTCAAGATACTTTCAATTTATTCGTCTTGTAGCAACATCATCAATACAAATTGAATTTAAAGATGGACTTGCAAATATAGCAGTACCATTACCAAGCAGAGGAGAATCATGTGTTTTTCAAGTAAAACAAAACAATATTATTTGTATAGAATTTTGTTAATACTTTTCTTTTTTAATTAGTTAAAACCATTTAATACAACAGTTGGTGATTTTATTGATATATTACAAAAAGAAGATCGAGGTATTGATCGAGCAGCTATATACCTTTCCGATGGATCTCGTCTTTCACGAAATTCACCGTTTGAATTAATATTTGAAGAACCATTTACATTACGTATTAATGAAACATCGTATAATGTTGAACCACCAACATTATTTACTTCAAATAAATCAGCTCGAGATATGCTTTCTGATATATCAAATTCTGTGACAAAACTTTATCATGATTTACGTCTTAATCAATATGTTATGTATCGTGAACTTGAATTAGAAAAACAATTAGAATATTTACGTGAAACTGCTCAACCACTTAATGAACTTCATCATCAACTTGCTAATAAAGCTATTCGACGTTTAAAATGGTTAGTAATGCTATACATAATACATATTTAAGTTTTTACTTCTTACAATATAATAGACAAAAAAAAATGTTATTTTAGATAGATGAAGAATATGGGTTGACCCTGTGTTCCGACAGTAGTTCGAGAATAGTTACCGATTAAATAATCCTATAAATAGAGTATTAACTTCTTTAATGTGCTAATGGTGTGTAGTCAGATCCATCAGGTGTCTTGTTCGCAATACACGATGATGTCGGTTACTCCAACGGCTATGCTGTAAAAAAGGAGGATTGAACGACATGAGACGCTCTGGTTTATTTTCTTTCATAACAGTATTGAGTGTACAAAATCAGCTTACATCCCTTGGTATTGACGTAATAGAAAATGGAAGGGATGAATACATAAAAACTAATTTTGAAATAATAGATGTATTTTTCACTTCTATTGTTAAATAATTACCTATTTGTCTTTGAGGTATTGTATAACTACTGAAGATATTTTATCCATAGTGAATATTTCACGTAATGATGTTTAACATATATACATTAACTTTATTTTATAAGTCTGATATATGAGAAACGGAATGATGTAATGAAATGTTGTTTTTTTAACCAATCGATAACTTTGTATTCGATCTAGTAATAGTCACTTCAGCGATTCATAGAAGGTAAAGATTTAATATATCTCCTATTCAATTTTAACCCATACGCATTGCACAACACATTATATGTTTTCAAACAAATTATCTTATAAATCATATGAACTAGAACATAATTCAAGAGCGGTGATCCAACGAAGTGCTGATGGTGGACTAGATAAGTCAAAAAAACAAGTATTGAAGAATTATTTAACACGTCATACGAATAATTTTCTGTAGATCGGGACCAACAAAAAAACGTTGCTGATCCCTACATAGAAAATGAATAACAAAAAATAAATGTATGTTGTCTTTTTTCGGAAAGTAGTCAATAAATAGCTAAAACAGTGATCCTTCACTTATTTATGTACACTGAGGGTGCCAGATATTGGTAGAAAAAACCTACGGTCTCGACTCGATCGGGTTTGGATCTACAAAAACTTGGATGTGCTTTAGAAAATCAGATTTTTAAGAATAATAAATTTTTTTAGTTTTCATTCAGTTCCTCAAGAGTTTTCACTAGTTGTCTGTTATATTAGCAGTATTAGAATATACTACGTTAGTTATATGTAACATTTCCTACGAGTTTTATTATTTTTATTAGGATTCAATGGTCAATTTTTGCTGCAATGTCATTTCAAACCGGTATCTTATTTCGTTTGATATGGATTGATTACAGGTATATTAATGTTTATGACAAAAAAACAAACGAATTTATTTAGTGAATTTTTATACATTTTAGTTGGGATATAATGGAACCTTTTACGTATTTTATATCATATTCAGCTGTATTTATGGGTTATTGTTATTATATACTTCGTCGAAATGATATGAAATATATGAATATGTCTGATTATTTTTATTTAAAAATTTTACATCGTTTATTACGAAAGAAAAATTTTGATTTACCACGTTATAATGCTTTGAAAAATGAAATAATGATGGTTGAACATGATCTTCAACGACTTAAAGATCCATTAGATCGTATTATTGGAACATCATAAAAATTTTGCATTTTTGTTGTTTGTTTTGCTTTTTTTTGTATTTATTCTTTAGATAGAAAAAAAAATTACATTATGTTTAATGACTTTAGTGCAGTAAAATAATATATATATATATATATATAAACAAATTTTTATTTTAGTTTTTCTTTTTTCTTTTATATTTGTATCGATATTTATCTAATCATGGGTCGAAAGAAAAAGAAACAAACAAAACCTTGGTGTTGGTATTGTAATCGTGAATTTGATGATGAAAAAATTCTATTACAACATCAAAAAGCAAAACATTTTAAATGTCATTTATGTCATAAAAAATTATATACTGGACCCGGTTTACAAATTCATTCAATACAAGTATTAAAATAATATATTCCTTTTTGTTTTTTTTTCTATATAATAAATATTTTGTTTTTCTTTTAGGTACATAAAGAAAATATTGATAAAGTACCAAATGCAATCAAAGGTCGAGATAATATTGAAATTGAAATATATGGTATGGAAGGTATACCAGAAGAAGATCTTCGTGCACATGAAAAACGACTTTCTGGAAAAGATAAAGATGAACCAGATAATAATGATGCTGTAAAAGTGCCTCCACCACTTGGTATGCCACCAATGCCACCATTAGGTATGATGCCTGCTGCACCAATGATGCCAATGGCTTTTCCTGGTATGCCATTTGGTATTACACCTATGTCATTGCCTATGATGCCTCCTGTACCAATGATGACACCATTACGACCACCAGTGCCTATGGTTCCACCAACACCTGGTAATCCAGCAGCAACTCTTCTTCCATCTGCTCCTACTAAACCATTATTTCCAAGTGGAGCTACTGATGTCTGTTTAATTAGATAATTAATTTTCGTTTTAATGTTTGTTTGTTTTTTATTAAATTTAGGCTAGTAATGATACGAATTCATCACCTAATTTAACAACAATGGCATCAGCTGCAGCAGCTATATCAAATTTATCAGCTACTACATCTGGATCATTACCGGGTAATAAAGGAAAAATTGAACCTGTTGCTGGTACTGCAAAAATTATTCATCCAGATGATGATATATCATTAGTAAATTTCAATATTGAAAAACAATAATTTAAAACATTTATCTCTTGATGTTTTTTTTCTTTTTAGGAAGAATTTCGTGCTTCATTACCAAAATATAAACAAATAATGATGCCACAACAAATGCAAATGCCACCAATGCCTGCTGGTCTTTCAATGGCTAATTTTGTACGACGTATGTTTTTATTAGTTAATTTTCTTTTTTCAATGTATTTCTAAAAATGTTTACTGTTTTAGCTCCAATGGGTGGTCTACCATTTATGGCTCCACCAGCAGGTTTTCCACCGATGGGATTTAATGGTCCACGTTTTTGATCTTAAACGAAACACAAACAATGTACGTGGATGTTTTGCTTATTCTTGTTTTTTTTTCTGTCCCTATATACAAAGATGAACATTTCTCTCAATTTTTGATTTCATTCTCTTTCTTTCTGTTGCAATCAATGTTTCTTCTCATTCTCTGATTGGATTAACTTTGTTTTTTTTTCTGTCACTTAAGTGTTTTGTTTCATTATGTCTATGTGTATGTTGATAAAAATTATGAAAGAGAACATTGATATTATATATATATATATATATTATATTTATTTATCTGCATTGTTCTAGGCTGCTTACATGTGAATGATATGCTCGTGCGACGACAGACATAGACACAATGTCAGGTCGGTCTATCACACGACGTCGAGTCACAGTAGCAGCAGCAGTCTATAGAATTTATTTTATAAAATTTCTTTGCTGCACGCACTGTTGGGCTGCTTAATTGAGCTAGCCCCTAAGAGAGATTATTATCTCTCTTGGTGACACACATTCAGTTGAAAACGGCGATCTTTTTTTTTTCTCATTTAATTATTTAATTATTTTTGTTTTTCTTGATTAATGTTATAGGAGCAAAATATAATATGTTCAGTTTTTCGGTAGGTAAATCTTTTGAGTAATACATAAATTTTACATGTCTCTATATAATAATTGCTTATCAATGATTTCATCCAGTTTCATATATAGTGGTTTTGCTGATATTATTAGTTTGATGGTTTCTATATTCACTGAAAACAATATTTCAAGATGATTTATAGGTGTCATATAGTATTTTATTAATCAAAGTATCGTATTACGTTGCATAACAATCAGATGCTGTTGAATAATTGGAAACTTGAAAAAATAACAACGGATTTGATGCATTAAAATTTTTATTGGTTGTATGAATTTATGAAGAATTTGAAAGAGAGATGTGTATGCACTCAATAATTCAATTCTGGTATGTCGCTTCATTCTATGCATCTTCTTTCTTTGATTTACTTTCGACATTATTAGTTAAATACTCGATTACTTATTGCTTTTTATCTGTATGTTGATTTATGAAATGAATTTTTTTTTTCCTTTTCTGTTCTTCCTAGGATGATGTAAGAACGAACAGCTACTTCCTCGTCAAATCAAGCATCCGTTGCTGTATCACACTTAAAAAGTGTTTTGATAATTCAGAAAAACGTATTTCTTCCAATTTTTTGGATGTTATATGAAGATATATTTGAAAAGTAGGTAAAATTATGTCGTTGAACAGCTAATTAGTTAACATAGTTTATTATTTTTTATTGTTGTATTTCTTTTTTATTTACAGTATAAATAAAAATAGTGATGAAACATTCGAAACTGGGTTTTTATTTCTATGATTAATTATAATAAGAATTTTTCTGGGAAAATAAAAAAAAGCATTTCAGCAGAAGACGTTGTATACAATATTTTGCAAAAATAATTCATCACTTTTCAAAACAATGCTTATTCAAAATGAAGCGAATATACATAATGGTTTTACATATTGTCTACAATAAAGACATATAAACTTTTGCTGCGCCAAGTGTTATGTACACTTATTCGTGTAACTTTCCTGACTTTAGTCCTTTTTTTTATCTAAAACTATTAAGTTAAGATTTGATAGTCTCCATCCGATGTAAGTCCACAAATAGGTGTCATTACGCGAAATACTAGCTCCATTTATTACCAAGAGTTTTGAAAGAAAACATTGAATTATGTTCAAAATTTCGACTAAATATCAATTCTAGATTTGTTTCTCAAAAGCCAATTTAGCTTTTCATTGAGGCATCATATAGTTTCCAATGAACATGAAACAATCAAACATGCTTCAATACATCACTACTATTGTTCGCATTCTACAATAGGCATGTAATCTTTCATCCTTAGAAGAAATGTAATAGCTTTTCTCATTTTGATAAAATTGGCGCAACAACTTTTCCCATAATCATGATGTGTACAATAACCTAATTTAACAGCATAACATTTCAGATCGGTATTATGCACTGTCAGTTGACAATGAAATATACTATTATCTCACAGTATTAGTTGTTACTAAGCATTATTATGTTATAGAATAAAACACGAAAAGCAAAGTGATAAATTATTTTTGCACACTATTGTATTATTGGCGAAAAAGAATGAAGCATTCTTTTGATGAGTCATGTTATTGTTTTCTAGCCATGTGATTAAGAGCATATTGTTTCAATATTATTCCACGAATATAATAAGTTACAGAAGTATTACTCATATTTAACAGTATGTTGTTATACATTTTCATTAACATAATTTGGGAGCAATGGAGTTATATTGTAATCCAAGGAGATTTTCGAGAAAAAAAATCATCAACAATTCTTTCAATCACTCTATCAATAAAATGAAACAGAAGTTAAATGGTTATTATTTCTTATCATGATATTTGTGAATACAATGCAATCGTGCAAAAAACCAAGAGCGTGACATTGTTTGATGGGCAACGTTATAAACAATAATAATATCAAGAGAAAAACTACTTACTACAACTGAATAGAATGAGAAGCGGCAAAAAAATTAGTGATGGTATTTACAATAGATCTAGAACATCCCATGACGAAAGATATAATTAGAATGAAGAATATTTCTTGGAAGAATTTTACGTTTAAACTTCAGTTCAACTATCATTCGACTGATAAAGTATTTTGGTACATCATTTGTCTTCGCGGAAACAGATAAATATTCACCCAATCACACAGTGGAGAACATCTCTAATTATATACTCGTCAAGAGAAAAAGAATGCGTCAAGTGCAACTGAAATTGTGACAATCAATAATGAAGGCATTCGCATTTGGCAAGACAGTCACAGAGAATGAAATCAAATCTGAGACGTTAATCTTTTTCAGTTTTTGTGATATTCATTAACTCTTTGTCATTGGAGAAGTGTTTCAACTATGAAGTATCTATAATTAAGCAGTTAGACTATGATGTTGGCTAGTTTTTTCAAAAATTCTATGTTCGAGCTTAGCGCTATTTATCTGTGTTATTAACATCATATTTCTCGATTGAACCAGGCGATAGTATACATCTACACTCACATCTATCTTCATTCACCTACTTTCGATGTTCCTTCAGGATACCTTAAGACTAAGATGTCATGTGATGAATTGTTCTAGCACTATATACAATCTGCAAGGAATTAAACAAGAACTCTTTTGATCTCCTGTTCATAACTATAGTTGAATGATGTTTAAAGAAATAGATGATCAGTTTTCAAATATATTGATAGTTTAAAAAAAAGGTTGGACTTGTTGAAGTGGCTTTCGACAAAATTCTACATCACTAATAGTAATTTAGCAAGAAGTGTTTTTTTCTTTTTCTCGAATTGCAGAAGAGTTATCCTACTTGGCTTTTCTAAAAAATCTTGTGTGTAAAGCCTTAGGAGGAAATCTTCCCAACTGATATCTTCTATTTGAGCTTATACTTTGTTCATAAGTAGGATCTATACTTTAGGATATAATAAGTATCATGAGATCTGTTATTGGTGAACACTTCAGGCGGGAAATCATTATGGCAGGTTTTTTTCGGAATATCCTTCAAAAAGCTGAAAGCTCAGTGAGATGACCATAAAGAAAAGGCTACGAGCACGAACCCTTTTAGGATTTTCATCAAAACTATGAGTAAAATATGAACTCAAACAGAGAGTATCAGTTGCTTCCTTAGAGCAAAGAGATAAGGGGCATAGTTGTGAGTGGGCTAACATATTCATTTAATCCCACACTTTCAACCTCACCTGAGTTGGAAAATGAACTTATTAGGTAAAATAGCATTTTTCATACAGGACAACCGTATTTCATTAAGATCTATTGTTGGCCATGAATTCATTCAGTAATGTTAGTATTATTGAGCTTCATGTTTGGAGAATTGTCTTCATAAAAAATTAACTTTTAACAAACTTTATCTTCCGTAGAAAATTTTTTTCATGGCAAATGAGTACAATAAAAATATTTAGCATAATTCCAAATTATTATTTTTTTCAACTTCTTCTTTCTAATCATAATAACAAATAATCCCATGTATTGACTATACTTGTTTGATACTATTAGAAAGCATCCAATATTTACCTGAGCATTGCACAACTGGGAGAAAACACATTACACAGCTATTCTTTCAAAAACAGTTACATTCGTATTTTTCTAAAACTTAAAATTTGTAATACATTATTTCAGATCTAATGGATGAAGTTTCGAATAAATGTGACAACATTCATAGCACGTCTGATGCATCTAACAAAAGAACATGTCCATTAGCTGTTTATGATTGTAGAGATGTACAGGTAGTTTTAAATAACAATTCAATGACATTGAACTTTTTTTTTTAATGTATTTATAGCTCAATGAGAGTTCATTGCAAGAACATTATACTTCAGAACAACATCAAAAAAGTCTCGTCAGATGTACTCAGTCAATTATGGAAAGTATGAATGGTGTTTACTCCGAAGCCGATATAGATATGAAAGAAGAAAAAACTTCATTAGTAGAAAATTACGAAAAACTATCAATAGTAACAAGAAATACAGAAACAATTCATGACCAACTTATTCAAACAGACGTCGAGATGCTTCAATGTGATCAACAAAATTCAACTCTTCTTCAAGAATTGAATAATATTCAGACAACGAATTCATTGGAAAAAGCTTATCGTGATACAATATCACTTAATCAAAATATTTTGAGACAAGACATCACAATGTTTGAGCAACAAGTAGCAGATGAAAGTCAAATAATAAAAGAAGGACCCGATGGAACGATAGTTTGGAAAATAATTAATGTTCGTGAAAAGACATATGATGCTCAATCCGAACGACAAACCAGTATTTACTCGCCTGCTTTCTACACATCAACTATCGGATATAAACTATGCATTCGCCTTTATCTTAACGGCGATGGTACAGCACGAGGTTCACATATATCAATTTTTCTTGTAATTCTTCGTGGCCCGTATGATGCATTGTTGAAATGGCCATTTTCTTATCGAGTATCATTTTGCCTTTTTGACCAGCGAACAATGATTGAAACAAATGGAACAATACAACCTAAACATATCATTGATACCTTTCGACCTGATATTAATAGTATAAGTTTTCAACGGCCATGTTCAGCAATGAATATTGCATCGGGCATTCCAAAATTTTTTCCTTTGACTGAATTTCATAAATCCGAAAACGAAAATTTATACGTAGTAAATGATACAATATTTATTAAAGTTTTGATTGATTTTATAGGAATATCTCGATCAATGCTTCCTTTTATTTTCAATCTGAATATTGCTTTGCCTGTACATATACAACAACAACTTATCTCGGATGAAATAAAACGACGTCAAGAACAAAACACTAATTGAGATATATTCAAAATAGAAATTGTATCAATTAGTGAGTTTCTAATTGGATTTTTAGTCAAGAAGATGTTATGTAATAGCAATCTATTATCATGAACTGGCTGCTGTTACTTTTTTTTATTTAATTAAGATTTTTATTTTATTTGATGTGTATTTTCTTTAGACGTGATTATCAATGCTTGAATAAAGATAGACTAATTTTCTATCAGATTTTTATTTCATATAAAAAAATTATTTTCACAGCTTCATTTTATTTGTCTGTATGGAGAATGTTGAATTTGCTGGAAATTTAAATTTGTAGTTGTCGTGTCTTATCAGTTAAGTCTTCTCAGGCAGACTTGATAACATATTGATCTTAAAGATACTCGTTTCATTTCGGTATATTGCGTAAGATGTTGGTTTTTTCTTTATATCTATTTAAAAAGTTTATCAAAACAGAAACACAATCGGTGTATGATCTACTCATCTTACATTTCGGGTTTGGGAAAATAGCAACCATTTATATTTAGTTATCAAGTCACTTTGAGTCATTTCGTATGATTCCTCTTGTTTTATGGTTTATATAGGTGACTTCTTGTGACACATATCGAGTCAACCATAATCATTGAAATTCTATATCCTTGCAGTTCAAGCATAGCATTATTATGCTATCACCTGACAAAAGTGACCCCATCACTTACGAGGAAACCTCTTCAGATGTCTCCTTCTGAGTTCCTATTGAGTTTTGACTAAGTTATTGAATTTTTAATATGTCTATTTTCTAGGGATCTCATGCTTTCAGAAAACTTGTATTTGTGAAATTTGATCCCAAAACTTTGTGCATATGGAGAACTCAACTACATTACCTTTCATAAAAAAATTCAGAAGTTTTGAACAGAAGTTTCTTCAAGATATAGACTCTTTTTCACGGATAGTCTATACAACATGGATTTTTTGACAGCTTCATTTTCAGATCAAAATTCTAAAATACGAATTTTCCGAAAACCTGAGATCATGCAGAGATTTCTAGAAAATATAAACGTTAAAAATTCGATAGATTAGTCAAATATCAATAGGAATTCAAATTCTTTTAGGATTTTTATTAGAACACTATGTAGTATCTATAGGCAAAAAAAAATCATTGAAATCGGAAAGGAGCAACTGATGAGGTTCTCTCGTTAGCCAGCCAGTTATTAATTTTGATAAGTTACTTGTCTTTTGTTTCTATGAATACAGGTTTTTTTTTATTATAATATAATAATATTTCTAAGGAAGGAAAAGAAGATGTTCAATTCTTCACAGACAGATCAAGTCTGGAAATGATTAGTTAATTTGGATCCCTGGTAAGTGGTTAAATTAATAATCATATACACTCGAACAGGTTCGTTACTTGCAAAAAGGAAAAATATTACTTTGTGAAATTTTTCAATTAAATATAATAGAATAATGTGATCAAGTGTTGATGACAAACGATAGATTTATTATATTATTAAAATAAATTTGACTTAATTTGCAATTCAATCGTGTAAGAAATAAATGTTCACTAGTATTTTAATATCATGGTTTGAATGAACTATTATTCAATAAAAAATCTTTTTTTTTTCTAAACAAGCATTGATTTTTATTCTAATGATATTATATAATTTATTAATTTTGTGAATAAGACATATGAGCTACAAGACCTCGGAGTCACGCCAATATGTAGCCCATCACTTCTAGTCTGTATGCTGGTATTTTCAACTTATGATTTTGTTCTGAAATTGTTTTCTAAGAAACATGATAAGAGCTTATCGATATTTCAGTTACAACGGTTTTTGAGACAGTTGCAAAAAAAAGTTTTGTTTTTCATTGACAAAATGTGATGATGAAAACTGTTGGTAACATTATTTGTTCTCAATGCTAAGGTATTCACCCACTCCTTAATTACGTGTCAAATGAATTTCTACAAAGTTTTTCCTGGAGCATAGCCTATTCAAACTAGAGTTTCTTCGTTTTTCTTAGCTTTGAATGAACTTTTATTGAGTAATATACTAATGTTTGACACGAATTGAGGATACAGATAAACTGCGTAAGTAAAGCTGTGGCATTGCACCCGAAGAAAAGTTGTGTTGAACTAACCTCAAAATAAATTTCATATTCGAATAGAACATATCGATTTGTAGCAGAAATATATGAAATCGAGAGTTTTGTTGATCTGTATAAGATTGAATCAATTTTTCTCATGCGGACTCGGCTGACAAAGAAAATTATGTTTGGTAAAGCTAAACAAATATAAACAATGGAGCTTCGTTGGTGCAAAAAAGAACCAACCAGTCTCCTTGACGCTGAATACGAGTACAGTACGACAACTTACTGCTCAGTACCTACCGTTTGCACCCAAATCCGTGTGAATCATTTAGCGTGGAAAAAATTGGTTCATCTTATATAGGTCAACAAACTCTCAGTTTCATGTATTTCTGCTACAAATCGATGTACTCTATTCGAATATGAAGCTTATCTTGAGTTTAGTTCAACACAACTCATCTCCAGTTGATTATTTTTTAACGAGACTGAAAAAATATTATGATTCATTTACGCAAAAATCGTGTTTTACATTGCATTTCAACATCACTATTTTATTCACACAGTGTATCGGTGTTTCCGATTCGTATAAAAAATTAGTATGTTACTCAATAAAAGTCCATTCAAAGCTCAGAAAAACCGAAGATTCCAGTTTGAACAGACTATGTTCTAAGACAAACTTTGTAGAAGTTCATTTGACACATAATTAAGACTTGAGTGGGTACTTTGGTGTTGAGAGCAAATATTATCATCAACAGTTTCCATAACTACAATTTGTCAATAGGGAACAAATTTTTTTTTTTTTGCAGTTGTATAAACAATTTTCGTAGTTACTATAGTATGTGTCAAACCAAATATAACAACATTCTATGACTTTCATTGTTGATAATACCTATCCTCTTAATTTAAAAATACTAAAATATAATTTACTGCGGCATTCTAACATGTGTGTTATTCCAGTACCTTTTTGTATAATGAATCGATGAAAAAAAATGCGAACAAAAAGTGTATTACTTGATTTAAAAGCGCATTATCGTGTGTAAATATAAATGCATTTATTTTATCTTACTTTTATATTGAACAAACAATATCGAAAATAATCAGCGTCATATTTGCTTTTTCATAGAAGTATTTACTTTTTTCTTTTATAACTAAAACCTTATCAACAGACTACTCATAGGTAAACCTATGATTAATATTACAGTCATTTGGGAAGACGTACGATATGTCAAAAACAAATGTTAACATGGATTAATCAACTTGACAATCCATGTATAGGATCATCTGATTGTTCTATAATGTTATTTGGTGCCTGAAAATATAAAGTAAACTTGAAAAAGAATATAATGGAAAAAAAAAGTCCGTTGAATCGAACTGTCTGTTACTTGTAAGATGTATACCGATGTATGGTAAAAATACATCTACACATATGTCTACAATTAGTGATCCATGCTATTGAAAACTATGATATTTTTGTATAGTTATGATTTTAGAAAATTGTTTTAAATATGACCTCACAAAAAATATAATTTTTTTTCTGACATCAATGAATAAACAAACACAAAGAAATGAAAAAAAAACATTGAATTAGTCATAGTAACGAAGTATTTAAATATAATGTTGAATTTAATAGCATTTGCACTTAACCTGACACCTTATTTAAAGTAGAAAAATATTCTCATGCATGTTATACTTTCAATTCATCAAATTAGAAGATTTAAACACCTATTATTACGAGTGTTTCCGGTAAAAGAATAATCAAATTCTTTAATCACTCTAATGATAATACGAAAATTATTTTTTATATCTTAATATAATCAGTTGACTTCATCATTTGTCAATCTATTTAATTTCTAATGCATATATTACATAAAATAAATTCAAAATAGCATGCATGCAATTAAATATTACCTGCATTTATCTAATGTATTTTAAGCAAGAAAAACACGTTGCCATTTTTTTTAAGTAAGCTTTTACCTAAACTGACATATTGAAGAAAAATTTATTTCTACTCTTTTCTTTTGAATCGTTTTTTTTCAATGTACATAATTAACTTCCGTTAAGGCAACTTCAAAAAAAAAAATTAATATGAAATCATGATTGAATTGTGTTATAGCTCAAGTTTGGTGTTGCATTGGTCAATCTAGAAAATTAGCAGGGAAATAGTATAGTATATTCTTTTTCTATCAACGTAGACTTCTTCGAAAGAGACTGATATATTGCACTTTTCTATTTTACAGATACCCAAGGCAAATTGATATATATTCTTATCTCGTCGAACTATATGAATATAAAATATGTAAATAATCAATATAAAAAACAAAAGTTTTAATGAAATTTGAAGAATAACTTTTTAGAAGTAAAAGTACATTAAAATACGTAAGAGAAAAGAAATAATCAGATTTGTCGAATTAATAAATATGAAACAAGAAAACAAAAAAACACTAACCATCAATTAAGATGCACTAGAAGTAACCTTGAATAAGTGCAATCATCATCAGTACAGCAACATTTTTGAATGTATTCTATTCCTTCTTTTTCTTTTCCTTCTCTTTCTTCATTTTGAAAAAAAATTACATGAATAACGTTCTCTTCGACAACACTAAAAGAATTATAACTTCGCTCTCTCAGTTTTCTCTTTTTCTTTTATTTCTTTCAACTTGTCTGTTGTTGCTTTGGTAGTGCTCACCGGTTAGCATATACTCCTATATATATATATATATCAACAAACGAAAGAACGAACGAACAAATCAAAGTACCGTATTGTTGTCTCCTATGACGACTTCATTCTGTTGTCTGCCTTTCTGTATGTCGTTTTCTCTTTTTTTTTGTTCTATCATTTCGATCGATCGTTAATTTTAAGTTTTTCATTTTTATCGAATGCTTGTACTGCTGAAGACTAACAACTACTATATATATATATATATATATGTATGTATATTCGATGAGGTTAGGTTAAAAAGTGAATCTTTGTATATTTCGTGTGTTTTTTTTCGTCATAGTGAGATGCGTCATATGAAAACGATTTGTTTGCACGAGAAAGAAAGAAAAAAAAGAAGCATAGAAAACGGTTGTTGCCTTTTGTTTCTATTTATTTGTAGAGAATGCAAGCTATTTCAATGTCTGCTAGAGCACGTCGACGTCGACCACCACCTCCAGGTTTGTTTAGAATTATATTTTTTTGTTTTCGAAATTCTATTTCGTTGTTATATATAGTTAAAGTGAAATTAGCATTTGGAAATGATGACGATGATGATGATAATAATCATAAGGAAAAACAGAATAATAAAGAAATATTAGAAGAAAATCATTTAATATTATCCAATCAAATTATAGATAAAAATATTACTGATGTTAATTCAGATAAATGTTATGAACGTGCCTTGTTTACAATTCATAATATTACTGTTGAAGTTATATTAGAAAATGATACATTAAGTTGGTCAACTGTAACTGGTGAAAGTATGTTGAGATTGAATATAGATTTTAAATGTTGATTTATACATATTTATTTCTTCTTTAGTTCCTCATGAAGAAACTAATCGACGAAAATCTACACATCGAGAAAAATTTGCAAATCGAGATAATGTGAATTCAATTAATCTCCAAAATGTTTATGCAGTTACACCACTTTATACTCAACAAAATTGGTCGTTAAATACTGAAACTATAACTGGTACTTCTGTATCTACATTAAATTCTATTAGTACACCAACGATGCCTTCGGCAACGTCAACTCAAGATTCAGTTTTGCGTGGTTTTCAATTACATTCTTATCAAACTACGCAAGATAGTATTTTACAAGAAATACTTGTTATATTTCAAAGTGTTCAGCCTACTATAATTGAACAATGGTATCAATTATTATCAAAAATGGTTTCTGAACGTATGTAGAATTGAAAGCATAAGAATAATTTGATTTGTTCTATTTCTTAGGTAGACCATCACGTCATATTCTTGTTATGTTGAATCCATATGCTGGTTCAAGACGTACTCGACATACATATTCGACAAAAGTAAAAACAACGTTAGAAAGAGCCCAGCATAAAATAACATATATAGGTATATCGTAAAAGAATTAATTTAATTCTTCAGTATGTTTATTTAGAAATTGATGATCAATGTAGTGCTAATGAAGCATTAGAGAATTTTGAAGGTGATTTTAATTCAATAGATGGGTATGAAAAAATTTTCGTAGTTCTTTTTTTGTTTTGTTTTGATGAATCTGTTGTTTTTTTTTCTATTAGTTTAGTTATTATTGGCGGCGATGGATCAGTAATCAATATTATTAATGGATTAATTCATTATTTAGCAAAAGAAAATCGAACCAGGTAAAATAATTCATTATATAATGATTAATATTCGTTTTTGTTTAATATAGATTAGATATGGAACATGATTTACCATCAATACCTTTTCCAATATGTATTGTTCCTGATGGTAGAATTATAAAAATGAAATGAAATAAAATTTCTAATTTAAATCAATATTTTTTTTTCTAGGTACAACCAATATTATTTGTAATACAATACATGGCAATACAGATCATTGTACACCTATATTACATTTACTTTTTAGTAAGATAATAAATTTAATTTAATCTATTGTCTTTTATTTGAAATGTTAGATCAACAAATGAAAATTGATATGTCAGCAATATTTGATATTAATTATGATTTTGTTACAGCAAATTTTAGTGCTGGTGCTGGTTATCCAGCTAATGTTTTGAAATATTTTCCACGGTATAGTTTACATAGTACAAAAACCATTATTAAAAAATCATTTTCAAAAGCGGCTTCACATAAAAACCTACAGTAAGCTTATTTTTGTCTACAAAAGTGTAACAAAATTTTCAATAAAGAATAAAAATTGCTTTCAGTGCGCAATGCTTGAAAGATTAAAATCAGAAACACAAGAAATATACCATTGGTATGAATGAAACGGTTTTAGCAATATATTATGTCCCAAACTATCGGAAGAGGCGTTAAGAATGAATATCTGAATCTTTCCTCCTATAACACCGGAACTAGAGAATAGTCACAATCAAAAGAAAAAACTCTTTATTCTTTTGGGACAAGTTCAGAAGAGAGAAATGACCGTTGCTTTTCTAATTCTGCCACTACCCTTCTTATAACAAAGTATGACCATACAAGAAAACGGAATGTGATCTCTTTGAATCCAGATATTGATTTAAAATCTTGTTAAAATCTATTTTGATAAGATTTAGAAATGTTCACTCATTTCCTGGTTAGTCATCAGATAGTAGCTCTGAACGGAGAATCGGACTAATACCCAATTCTTCTTGTTTAATTATATAAATGAATTACAGCAACAAATGTATGTCACGAACTAGTAAGTTCGAAATCAGAAACATGACACAAGTTTATCATCTAGCATACAATAGATTTGATCAAATAGGAGAATGTTAAATTGAACAAAGTCTACAATTAGTCTGATTCGGTACATATTGATTTCAAACATAATTGAAATCATTGATTATTTCCGATCTCAATTTCATCTTTTTTTTATTCAATAGACCAGTTGAAATGGAAATAAGATATATTCCCGTATATCAAGATACTGGACCGATGAGTCGTTGCTGTCGAGGGTAAAAGAAAAGAACATTTATTTATTTATTTGGTGATTGTTTTGTCTATATTTTATAGTTGTTCATCATGTACTCCAGCACCAGAAGAAAAAAGTGATGATCAAGTCAAAACTTTTGATAATTTTCATGTACAACAAATAAATAGACGAAAAAAATCATCATCATTCTCAAATAATGATCATAGTAATAATCGCTTATCATCAGCTGGAAAAATTTCTAATCAATCTAATGAAAAAGAAAAAAATTGGAAAATACTTCAAAATGAATATTTACAAGTAGCTGTGTTAACAAATGCTAATTTATGGTCATTTGCACCACAAGGTTTATCAAAATTTGGTCATCTAGCTAATGGTTCACTTGATTTAATTTTAATTGAACCAGTTACACGTAAAGAATTTCTACGTTATGTTAAACGTAATGGAAATTCAAAAAATCAAGTATACAGAAACGAAAACATATCAAGATATGATTATTTTCTTTTTTAATTTTTAGTTTGAACTTTCATTTACAAAGTTAATTCGAGCAAAAGAAGTTGAAATTGAACTTAAATCATCAATTGATAATTTTTTCAATGGGATATCAATTACTGATAATCATTTAGATTCATCACTGTCAGATGATTCATCCAATGAGGATATGTCTGATAATGAAAATAAACCATCCAGTTTACAACGACATGAACCTCGTCCACCAAGTGCACCTATCTCAGAAGATAGTCGACGTCATCGTCGTCTTCATCATCGTATAAATGAACAAACACCAGAATCTTCTCAATATGGACGTCAATCATCAAAAACTATAGACTCATCATCAGTTCGTTCAAAAAATCGTCATCAACAACAATCAGAAAATGATACGGATAGTCCACAAGTTGATCCATATGGTTCAACAACATCACTTCGTCGTAGTGGAATTTTTCAATCATTAAAATTGAAAAAAGATAAAATACGTTTACCACGCCCATCTAGTGCTCGTGGAGGAGAACCTGATGATGAAAAACAACAGAAAAAAAGTCGAAAATCACTTGGAGGAACTCTTCGACCGGCAAGAGTAAGTCATATGAAAACTTAGAATTAGATGAATTTTAATCTATGAATTCTCTGACAAAGAGTTCAAACACTTAGCTTATTGTTACGGAGATACTGCACGTTTACAATATTTTCTAAACCCAATGCCGTGATCCTTGTTTGGAACGCCAGGAAAACTGATAGTCGAATTTCGACTTGAAACTTTGTATAGAGATAGAGCTTAATAAGAATAGTTTATTGTGAAAGTTTTAGGATCGTTTGATTTGCTCCTATCGTGAAATAAGAACGAAGGTGTCGATGCATATGAATAATGCGCGAAAGACATGTACTTATTATAGTCATATCTTAGGATATGAACAACAAAAAACCTGAAACTCTCGCCATGAACTACTTCGGTTAAAGTTTGTCTCTACGCAAAGTTTTCAGTCGAAATTCGAAAATAAGTTGTTCCAGTGCTCCTGGGGGAGAGGCCAAAGCATTGAGTTAAAAAATTTCGTATAAATACACTATCTCTACAGCAATAAGTCAGGAGCTCGAACTCTTTTCAGGATATTCATGGTTCATATGGCTCTACATGATATACATAATCCCAATTTAAAAGCGATTAATCAACTAGGGAATGTCCTTCATAAGTATAGGATAAAAATCATTTATAGATCAGCAACATTTAATCTAAAGAATGATTTTCATTATTGATTATTCTACGATCGTTTATTTTATTGATATGATAGGAAAATAGTAGATCTAAAGGTTTGAAGAACTTCATATTTCTATCGATAAGAATATGTAGGAGAAAATTTTTCAATCATACTTTTGATATCACTTTTCAAATGTTTCCATTCTAGTAAAAATGATTTTCAATTAATGAATAACTCATCTAATGTACTAGTAGAGAATTCAAAAATAAATCTTATAACTTCATCAGAAGAAATAACTTAAGTCTTGATCAAAAAAGCTTCTTTGATCTGTTATCTTGCTTTCCTAAGTTAAAACTATTTGAAAAGATCTGATCAATAAATCATTGAATGAAAAACTATTGATTTAATTTTTAGTCATTACTAAATCTATTATCAAGTGGCCATTCTTCATCAGGAAAAGTTGATAAATCATCAAAAAATTTATTACGTGATTCTTTTTCTGCTGGTACTAAAAGAAGACCATCAGTGATAAGTCGGTCATCAAGTGTAGACAATGCAAAAATATCAAATATAAATGATGCATCTCGAAAAAAGAACCGACCATGTATGTGGAATTTGGATTTTAGCCCATATAATTCATCTTTAATAAGAATTAAGTAAGACAAGAGAAAAAAATCTTTGAATATATTTAATATATATATTTTTTTCAGATGTTTTTATCGATATTTACCAGTTTATGGTGTTGGTATTGATCCACAAACAAAATGCACAGAAGTCAACTATTCATGTTTCTGACGACTCGGATAAAGTTACCCTTGTTTTTATTGTTTTCTGTTGGTTTGCATCCAAATATTTATATATATTTTTTGTTTTTTTTTATAACCGAAAATACATTTTCATTCATATCAAAAACTCAAAAAATGAAATTAATAAACGAATATATCAAGTCATATTTTCGTCTATGAATTTGAACAAAAGATCTTTCATATAAGGCTATAATTGCTGTATGGGTGTGGGTGTAGGTGTCAGTGTATAGAAGAAAACATTCACATCCACACCCACCCTTTCTTCGAAAATACGTGAGTTCTACGAAAAATAAACAAGATCAACGGGAAGAGAAGATAGCAACAACAACTGCGAAGAAAAACAGAAGAGAAAGATAATCACTGGAAAGTTCAGAGAAAATATGTGTTAGCCATGGAGAAGATAGAGAAGGAAAGCGAATGGAAACTACCTGGACAGTTAGCGATAATAGAGTGGCTTCTATTGACGCTTGTGCACAAAGTCGTGATTTTATTTGTAAGTATTCAGCCTGTTTTCGTTTGTACATGCCGAGGGTCCCATCAGCAAAATTCAACCATTAGATATTTTTTTCCATCGAGAAAT